CTTATGAGAACAGCCTGGGCTTTGGGTTATGAAGTACTGGCATCATTTTCATTTTCACTTCTTTAGTTCTATGAATATATGGTATGTTAAATATTTATTAATTGAGCTTATTTTACTAATCTTTTACTATATTCTTGCTTTGAATGGTAAAATGATGATTAGGAACCGATGATTCTTTGCTATCCAATGATTTTTTATTTTTTATTTTATTTTTAAAATAAGAACTGAATCACTATCAATCAGCCAATTATGCTATTTCTTCTCTTATGAGTAAGTTATTGAAAATCATGGTTGGTCATTGTGCCCCTAATCTAAGCGAACCCCATATTATTAGAGTAAGCACAAACCAAGTAGATAATTGCCCATTTGGAGAATGATTATATTTCACGAAATAAGTACAAAAAATTGAATCGCACTACATCATGCAGTTGATAGGGTGATCAGTCTTTCGATTGCCTTTTTCGGTTCTGAGAACCGACTAAGTTGCTAATATCTTATCCACTTGGTTATGTCACTCAATTGCTGTATGTTCATTTTCTTCTATTCGTGACTGTTAGCTTAAACATGGGGAAGTTCTTGTTCTTTTTAATAGAAAGCAGTGCGTTCCGAACCAAGGCAGTAAGTAGGGTAATGCTATTTCTTCAGTTAAATTGGTTATTTAGGCTACATTTTTTTACACAGGTTGCCATCCCTGTGGTTCCAACCATCAGGGTGATTGTCACCTTCACAAAGTATGAAGAATTACAACCCGTGGACGAGTTTGCAACGCCCCCATCAAGCCCAACAGCTGCAGCAGGCAGGGAGAGCCCTTCCGGGGCACAATCGTCCTCAAGTTCATCTTGGTTTCAGTGGATAAAAGCCCCGTATCAACGACCGAGTTCATCGTCCACGGTTTCCAGCAGCAGGATAGAAATTCTTGAAGATCCATTCACCATCCCCCAGGATTACACCTGGGTTACCGCAGAAGCAAAGAAGAAAAAGATTCAGGAAAAGAACAGAACAAGGAAAGGAAGAAATCGCCGTGATTAAATCCAATGTCGTAAGTTTGATCTCTCATAGCCGAAGCAGGTCGAGCTCGTTGACAACAAATTAGAAGAACAGATACGAGGTAGAAAATAGTTACTCATGTTAAAATCATAAATTTGTGTTTGGAAGATGAAGAAAGGAAAAGGAAATGGTTGGTGTGGTCATGTTTGTGTAGAAGCTTTTATTGACCCTTTGATGCTCTTTAGGAAATTCTAGTAAATCATTGTGGGGGCGACGGAAAGAATAACATTGTCGTGGATTTTTTACACCATTTCATTTAGTTTCACTTCTTACATTGTTCTCTTACAAAATGTTCTAACATGATCATAGGGGTAAAATTATGGAATTTGTCATTTAGGCTCATTAGTTAGATTTGTGTATCATGTATTTAAGAAGCCAGATTTATATTTAATATGTGTATTCGTTTATCTCTCACGTTGTTCTTTTCTTTTTCTTTTCTTTTTCTTTTCCCCTCGCTTCCTTTTTATTAATAAATAGAAACGAATGAAATAATTTGATAATTATTTTTTGTTTTTTTGTTCTTTAAAATTAATTTATAAAATAAATATTCAAAATTATTATGAAAATGGTTGTGGGTAGCAAAATCTATATATTTCAAAACATCTCACTTATTTTTTATTTGAATAAAAAGTAAAAAAATTCACTTATATCAAATATTTATGTAGTAGTATACATTATGAAATCTATTTTAAGTTTTTATAGCATATAGGATATATATCTTTATTTCCTATCTTTTGTACAATCTAATTACGAGTTATAGGCAAATATTTACATCATACTTTTTCTTTATGATTTTTGGGGCTTGGACGAGACAGTAAAATCGAAGAAGAACAAATAATTATTTAAATTTTGTAAAAGAGAAATCATCTTGATGTCTAATCGAACCCTCGGCTAAGGCTTTTTCCTGTTTGGTTTGCTTATGTCGGCCTGTCGATTCTAAGTTTGGACTGTCGGCCAATATCGCCGACACGAGGTTACTGTCGTTTTCTTTTACGTGGCGCAATGTATTCGTCTAAGGCAAAAACATTTTTTAATACTTTTAACTTTTATTAATTTTATTTTAGGTATTTTTAAAAACGTTGATTTTAGTCTTTATAAAAATTTATAAGAGACTATTTTAATCTTTATTGGTAAAATTTTATACCGAATAAAAATGATTTAATACAGATTTATGATTGCATTTAAAAAAATTTAGAGAGTAAAATATTATATAACATTTTATCGAATTAAATGAGATAAAAATAAAAATGAAATTACGAAAAGTATCACTCCTTCAAAGTACGATGTTTGTAACAGTATGTGATCTAAAATGAATGAAACCAGACTAAAAGGATGTTTAAATCTTACTTTTAAATTCTTATTATATCATTAGTTGTCACCTACATTTGATTCAGTTGTCACCTACATTTGATTCAGGTTTGTGGGGAACTATGTCTAAAAAGTATTCTTTTTCAATTAAAAGTAATATAAAGTATTTTGAAAAATAAAAAATAAAGTTGGGAGTTTCTCAAATGTTTTGTGATAAAAATATTTGCAACATGATTGTGGTTGACGAAAAACATTTAGAATTAGGTGTCAAATGATTTGTTATGATTGAAGTATTTTTCTTAAAAATACTCCAAACAAATTTGAAACTAAAAAAATCAATTTAATTTATTTTGTTATAAAATAAAATATTTGGCACTCAAAGTCCACTTTCAAGTTTCAACTCCCAATATTCGTAAAGCAAAAATAAGAGAAAAATATATAATTATTTTTTGCCAAATTTATATAAAAATAAGAATTAAAAAGAACAGTCCACCAGTAATAAAAATTAAAAAATCTGACAGCTTTTGAATCTATTAATAATAGTTAGAAAAATATTTTTCAACTAAAAGGGATTAATTATAGTGTCACGAATGAGGAAAGGGTTGGAGCCACGTGGCGAATTCTGATTCGCGTTAGGAACGTACAACCGAATAACGAACATGGACGATATGTCGTCTACTTTCATTCCCTTACAAAAACGCGCAAAACGTCGATACGAACTCCAAGACCTCCATTGTTGCGTCCTCCATTGATTCTTATCCAGACCTGTAAATTCTCTCGCCTTTTTACAGACACCAGCGAGTGCTTCATGCTTCTAGAACGAGAAAGTGAGTGTTAATCTTTCTATTTTTGGAGAGATTGAGAGAGAATTTCGCGCTTGTGTTGTTCGTTGTGATCGGAAAAAGGATGAGCGACGGGAAGAAAGGAGATCAAAACTCGGAAGCTCCATTCCACGTGGTTCACAAGCTTCCTGCCGGTGATAGTCCCTATGTTCGAGCGAAACACGTCCAGGTATTTTGGTGAGATGAGAATATTCAACTTAGAATTCGTCAAGCTCATAACGAAGTTTGAGGATCGTTATAATTCTCTGTTTTTTCTTTTTTTCTTTTTGTTTTTTAAATTCGATGTTTCGTTCCGTTCAATTGCGATTCCGTGTTTGGATTAGATTTATTGTTTGGACTGAGTTTCGGTCGGTTTTGGTGATAGTTTAATTACTTTCTCAGAAGTATGAATAAGATCCGTTTTGAATGCTGATTAACTTGTTCGTCAGTAGGGAACCGGATTTTCCAGAAAAGGAAAATGTATCGGAAATTTATCAATCGATTGTCAGGCGTAATGTGTTAAGTTCTGCTATCACATTTGGAAAATTGCACACGGTTCTTTGCTGTAACTCTCGTTGTCTTCAATACAGTTGAACTTCAAATGAGAGTTTATTTTAGGAAATCATAAAGCCTGAGTTGTATTGGTTGGGGCGGCTGTTCTCATTAAAACACAACAATAGTGGACGGGAAATTAAAAATAATAACCAATCAGAACACACACGCACACACTTTCCAATCTTGGCATCGCCATTTCTTTCACGAATGGTCTTCATCCCATCTTCAGAAGATTGCTCTGTAGAGCCAATGAACATAGAACGCGATGCTGATTATGCTTCTTTACGTTTCTTAATTTGACTCCTGCTTCTTCCATTGAATTGTTTTTCCTTCCTGCAAATTCAGCTTGTTCAGAAGGATCCAGAAGCAGCCATAGTTCTATTCTGGAAGGCAATAAATGCGGGAGATAGAGTAGATAGTGCTCTGAAAGACATGGCAGTTGTCATGAAACAACAAGACAGAGCAGAAGAAGCCATTGAAGCCATAAGGTCTTTCAGGGATCGTTGCTCCAAACAAGCTCAGGAGTCACTAGACAACGTTCTCATTGACTTGTACAAGGTAACGAGAATAAAGGTCTAAACTTATCTTGTCTCTGTGCTTTTGGATGTTATATAGCACCACAAAAGTTATGCAAAATTCAAAATTCCTTTAGATCACCAATTTCACAAAGGGCTGAGACTAATTCTTTCCAAAATCACAAGGGTGTGAATGAAGATTTCAATACATACAATAACATTAACTTCCATTGTTCATATCCTATCGTGATTTTAAAAATAATTTAGAAAACAAAAAATATAAAAGAAATCCTCAACCCTTTTTTTTTTTTTTGTATAACCAAAAATTTCAGTATCAGTATGTATCTAGTTAGAGAGCTTAACGAAGGGGTAGGGGAGTTGGATCAGTTTTTGGTATAAAAAAATACTCAATGTTCCTTTTGTTGTCGGGTATGCCTTTTCAGTTCTAACGAAAGCAAGTGCATTTAATATCAAATCAAAACTAACCATTTATTATTTTTTTTTTTAAAGAAAGCACTTATGAATAAAAATAGATAGTGTTCTAATGTTAACAAGTTTGGCAGAAATGTGGAAGAGTTGAGGAGCAGATAGAGCTGTTGAAGCAGAAACTTCGGATGATTAATGAAGGAGAGGCTTTCAATGGAAAGGCCACCAAGACAGCTCGCTCTCATGGAAAGAAGTTTCAGGTCACCATCAGGCAAGAGACTTCAAGGATACTGGTACGTTGCTGACCTCCATCAATTCCTTCCCCTGCCACAACAGCGTTTTAGCAACAAATTTTTTTAAAAAAATTTAACCAATATTTCAAAAACATCTTAAAAAGTATATTAAAATGCAGAAAAATAAGTGTTAGTTAATAAGCATGAATTTGGAAAGCCAAGCCGAGTATAATTCAAATGGTTAAGACATCTATTTCTGACCGACCAAAAGATTATGAGTTTGAATCTCCACCCCCACATGTTGTACTTAAAAAAAAAAGAGCAAACTAAAACTGCGTTTGAGAGCGAGGGTGACAAAAAAATGATTTCGATCGTGCTAAAATTACTTCCTAACGCACTCTAAAAAGGATTTAAAACAAAAGAAAACTACTAAAGAACTTAGCGCAGAATTGTGTGGTGTTGTTGAGAATCAAGCAAAGGTTGAATCTGAAATTGTAGGGTTGGTTTTGTTTGGTATCAGGGGAACTTGGGATGGGCTTACATGCAGCAGCAGAACCACAAGGCGGCGGAGGCGGTGTACCGGAAAGCCCAGATGATAGACCCAGACGCCAACAAGGCCTGCAACCTCAGCCTCTGCCTCATGAACCAATCTCGCCATTCCGAAGCAAGGCTGGTCCTTCAACAAGTCTTAAACGCCAAGCTTGTAGGATCCGACGACCCCAAGTCAACAAAACGAGCACAAGAGCTCATGGCACAGCTCGAACAATCCCAGCCCCGATCCACCCAGTTTTTGGCTGCCAATGAGAGAATAGAAGATGCCTCCATCATTGAGGGACTCGATCACTCTATGATGAACCAATGGTCGCCCTTGAGATCTAGAAGGCTTCCCATTTTTGAAGAAATTTCCCAATTTAGAGATCAACTCGCCTGTTGATTCCACGGGTCAGCATCCATCTAAAAAATTTGACAGTTCTTTTTTTTTTTTTTTGAAAAATAGAAAAATATCTTATTTTCTGTCTTTTTTTTTCTCCTTATATTTGTCGAAAATTAAATGATCGTCAACTAAAAATAGGTGTCGGGTTTTGTAACCAAGAATTGTTCTTGATTTTTTTAGAAGTTGGATTTTTTTTTTTCTTTTCCTTTGGGGTCTTTATAGGTGTGTTTTATTGACTCTAGAGCACGGTGACGAAAGGAGCTTGTAAAGGGGGCGTTTGAAAAGGTTGGGTTCAGTTTTATAGTTTAGTCTTTTTGCGTTGTGTATTGTATAATGGGAGAGAACCCATTTGTTTGCCTGATGGTTTCAATAATTGCAATGTTACTGTTCATATTGATGACTTCCAGTAAAAATGTTTCGATTTAACTTTTGAATCGTCTCTTTTCTAAATAATAAAATTATGACACTATAATTTATAAATAAATTATTATTAAAAGAACAAAAAACAAAAAAAGACATCATCTGGTCTTCCATCATTTTTCAATTTCATCTTTGATGTTTGGAAGAGGTTTTTGCTTTTTCTTTTAAAAGTTTTTTATTTCTTTCCAAATCCCAATTCAATAGTATCATTGAAATGGAATAAAATATATATATATATATATAATTTCACATTTGAATTATAGTTTTTTCTCTTTACATTTGCATGAAAAACAAAGTTAAATATTCATCTCACATCCAACCAACCTCCATTTCAACGACAAGATTAAGGACTTCGATTGAGACCTTATTATACTCAAAAGGAAAAATTGAAACAATTCAGACGTGATAAATGAAAATAAAAATTTAGAGATATGGTTTTGTTAAGAACCTAATTCATCACACTTTTGGAAAAAACCTGCTCACTTTAGTATATAGCTCATATGGTGAAAAATATATTCTCGACCAATAAGTCAAGGTTTTCGCTATTCTATGAGTTCATGGTAAAGAATCTTAGTGAGGTTAGTGTTCCTAATCACGAGGAATCATAATGAAGGACTGATATCTTGCAAAGGCAGAATAAAGATCAAGCTAATTGGAAAAATATTCAATCAGACTTAGCAGAATCACTCCATTGATGAAGTTCTATCTTCTCTCACTACCCATGTGCATAACAAAGAGCGATGATGAAAAAAGAAACAAAAAAATCAGATTATATAGAACTTACCAAAGAAAGAACATTTGAAAGGAAATTCAAGTTTTCATCTATTACATCTCAGAGGATCCACAGCATGGACCACTTAGAGGTCTACCTGAAGATCAGGGCATTGCATATATCTATACATCAATCCAAAATACAGACCTTCATCACCCAATCTTAAAAGGCTAGTCTAGCTAGTAGAAGGGGGATGGGAATTGGGTACAGCCTAAGAACGAATCGAAGACGACACCAAAATCAAAGATCTGCAACTTGGGTACGCGAATCTATCTACCGAGACCATTCCAATGCAGCAAGGCAGTTTACAGTGTCGAGGGGAAATCGAGATGGAACTTAACATTGAAAGCCATGGCAGACTGACAAAATAATGATGAGAATCAAGGCAACGAAAATACCAGCAACGATCAATTTCATCTTCATGTTCTCAATCCACATCTTCCTTTTGATTTTAGTTCCCTGCGTCCTGAAATCCTGTGCCTGAAATAGGAAGGAATTGAATCCATCAACTTATAAGCTACAGCCGCAAAAATGACAACGTAAGAACATGCATGTGAGGCGAACATTTTATCCGGGTATGGAAAAACATCTAGAATCTAAATGTGCTGAAACATATCCAGTTGCTTCCAGATCTGGACACCCCTTGAAACAAGGGGTCAAATGCATCTTCGATTATTTATAAATGAGTTACTTTTCTCCCTTGATTCTTAAACCAATGCATTTGAAGATGACAAATAAATAGGTGCGATGGAAGCCTGTATCAGTAAGGATCGTTCCCTGACAAAGTTGTTTCCATGAAAATCTAAAAGATCATGTTCAAAAGGGAAGGTTGAGGAACCTAAACTCTAAGGTAGCTCTAGACATGGTACTGGAAGTGGTGCAATGGGGATGGAAACTAATGATTAAGCGGCATGAATTTTACATGGTTAACTTCAAAGTTTAATGAAAGTTTATTCAACCAACCTGTGAACGGAGATTCTCAGTTTTATCCACTAGCAACTCAATTTTCTCACCACGGTCAAGAACCTGCCAATCAAATATAAAAATAGATCTTTCATGATTAAAATATCATAAAAAAATAAGGCTGTTTTAAAGGTTTGGTTACAAAAAATTGCCCAGTTGACTTCAAATAAATCCAACAGTTCATTTCACAGTATCCTAATTACTCAGACGCAAGCAAGCACCCATAACCTGGGCTGACATACCACTAAATCAAGCATTTAAATTATTGAAACACACACACATGGGTGTGTACATGATATGAGAAGTTCTATTAGCACATCATTCAAAGAAATGGCTTTTGAACCAGATAGCAGCCTAAGCAGTGCAATAAAATATTATTTGTGTGACGGGAAGTTTCTGGTAATATTGCCAGTTCAAAACTCATGAAGCTTATGCCTTATTGTTATAAGAAACTAAAAGAAAAAATCAATTGGATGGAACTGTTTAAGCTTTAGAGCTTTAGGAGTATCATACCTACGTTAAGAATTTACAACAGAAGAGTACACCATTATTGAAAATAATCCTTCATTCTAACAGACTCATTGAAATAATATTGAACCCTTGGAGGTTAGTATAATTGGAAGCAGCTCTTTACCTTCTCGATGTTTTCCATCATAACACCCTTGACTTCAGAAACCTGAGCCTTAACTTTAGCAAGCTTGTTGATCTCCTCAGGGTGATCCACACAATATTTCATATGCTCCTTCAATTTCGACCTATGAAATTAATTTACCAATGTTTTTTAAAGATTGTATCACCAAACAAGAACATGGTCAGTTATCAATGCTATTGGAAAGCCATGGGGAAACTGTAACTTCGACTCTTGATACTAAGAATGAAAGTCTCTAGATACAAATTTATCTTTTCCTAGTTTAGTTTGAAGATGGAAGTTTCATCCTGTAAGATGGAAGTTCTTATCTTCCTCCCTGACCATTTAATTATCTTAAGAAGATATATTTCTAAATTTATATTTAAGAACAGGAAATCAAAAATAGTACCCAAATTCTTTGTTCAGACTTTTGGCAGCAGCAGTTGCAGCTTTCCCACCACCATATCTCTTGTTGAAATCTTCCTTAACTCGCTCAAGAAAAGCAATAGGAAGTTGTCTACCGGCAGCTTCAGCAGCAACTACGCAATAAGCTGCAGATCCACATTTGAATTGGACTGGTTAAATCATGATCGCACACAAACTATTACATTACAAGATATCAAGTACGCATTTAAGAAAAACAAATCCAATATCCGGGCAAAGAGCATGAGACAGAAAGTTGGATGTAAATTGAATCGAAGAGAGAATTTAATGGTTGGAATTGATGATCAATGCATCATAAATATCAGATGATAGTCTCGTAAAAGATTATATAAGGAGAATTTGCACTCCACCAATTACAACCTACCATCAACAACCATAGAATTGTAAAATGTAGACACTCAAACCAATTCACAACAGGAAAACTGGAAGGAATTCATAAATTTACGAAAATGCAGAGCTCTTCACAGTGGTAGCTGGATACATCCGATTTCCAATTCAGTATTTTCGTTCAGACAGACCAAAAAAAAGGTTAGATCAGCCTGAATCCTAAACGGTGCATATTGCTTCGGATTGCACAAGAGGTACTGCCTCTGCATCAATTGCACGATCTCGTGCTCCTTTCTATCTCTCCAAAGAAACAAAAAAACACGAAGACATTTTGAAAAAAAAAATTATCGGACCGTTTAGTAGTTTTATTTCCGACTGGCGAATAATGTTTATAGACATACGTCAATTCTAGTTGAACTAAAAGAAAATATCCACCAATCGAAGAGAAACAATGACAAATCCTGTGTGATTGAAGAGAAATCATGAGCTCTGAACCAACGCAGTAATGACCAAACCTTCGGAAGATAAAAATCGACGGATCCGTAACAATTACCATAGGACATTGTAAAAACCGAATGGATCTCACAGAGGAAAACTCGACATATAGAGCTAATGAATCAACGACGAGATCTGGATCATTCAAAAAACAAAAACAAAACATATTGCATAAAATTCGGATAAATGAAACGTACTGAATCCGTTCTCGACGAGATAATTGAAGGTGTGGCCATCGCAATTGTATGTGAACTTGTTGTTAGAAGCGGGGAGCTTCTGAAGGCATTGAGAGGCGATGCTAGTGAAATTACCGGTGAACTCCGTGTACTCGACGAGGATCACCGTTCCTCGAGCCACAAAGCTGTAGATCAGCGACTGTTGCCCCATTTCCGAAAGAAACCTACCTCAACAACAATCACCGATCAAGATTCAGGTAGATTGGTGTAATGCAACGCCAGAGAAACGAAAAACACACAAAAATGAAAACGAAAAAAAGAAAAAGGAAAAACAGAGAGATCTTCAAAGCGATAGAGAAAATTAGATCGGAGAATGAACAATCTAGATTTGCCGGTGGAGGAGGACGTGAAAATTGATTACCGATAATTGCTGTTACTAAAATTTTCTCCGAGTGCGCGCGTATATAGAGCGAGACAGGAAATTGGGGGGCTCTGAGTTTTGGAGCATAAGGAGGAGTTTTCCAAAAATTCACATTTGCCTTTAAATGTAGTTTACAGTTAGGAACTGAAATGAGGGAGCGGAGCGTTACGGACATCGGTGGGACCGTATGAAACAAAACAAATATATATAATATAATAATATTGTTTTTCAAATAAATCCAAAATTACTCGCGCTTCTTTTTTTGAATCTTGATTCTCTCAATTTCTGCCATCTCTTTTATTTTTCTTTTATTTTTTTTTTCTTCTCCTTCTTCCAACTTTTCCCTGAAGTTTTAAATTTTCTATTTTAATTATTTTGGGCGTGATGTGTGGGTTTGACTAGTGGAATATTTGAAAAACCTACTTTTGATATATATATATATTTATATTTATATATTTATATGTGTAAAATGATCAAAATACAACCATGCTTCATTATAAATTTTTAGTACACAAATATGTTATTAGAGATATTTGGGTGTTTTTATTTAAGTTGTACCGGACGAAATTCTCATATACAGGGAATTTCTTGATTTACCTATCTCAATAAAGTGTATGATTTGTTCGAATAATATCTTGAAATTCAGTTGATTACATATGATATAATATCGTTTTTTTTAAGACCATGTGGGTATATGTTTTAATTCCTCTGTCAACGCTAAATGCATTTGTACATGTAAATATTGCAATTCAATATGTATGGTCAGTTCGTTTTTCGATAAACGTGGAAATAGTTTTGCTGGAATCATATTCAATCTCGAGATAAAATAAACCTAGTTCGATCATTACTGCAAGGCTCCCTCTAATGGCATTAATCTTATGAGGATAACATTTATCCTTTATAATTATGAATTGAGGTGTCAATTCCCATCATATTTTCGCCCAAACGTACAGCCAGTTTTGAGATACAAGTTTTGAAGTTAGTTTGATAAATACTTGGATGAGTATCATTGAACTCTATTTGTTAGGGGTAATGTTATGATTACAAGTTAATCTATTAAATATCCAGATAAATACTACAGGATTCTACGTACCTCAAAATCAATCGATAATTAAATGAGTAATTCATATTTTTTTAAATTAAAATTCATGTATTTTATAAATCTTGTATCATTGACAATTATTTAAATAATATTGCATATCGAATAAAAGAGTATCATTCGTTCATAAATATGACCCCATTCATTGATGGTTTATTTTCGTGGAACATTGATGGTTTTAGTCCACATTAAAAATCAATATACATTCATCAAATGATAATGCATTATAAAGTAAAGTTTAAACTAGTATAAATACAACTCAGTGCACTTATTTAATTGCGAGCTACATGTTCAAAAAAATAAAAAAAATAAAAAAAATCAAGCTACTGAAAACCAATCCACACAACTTTTTAAAAATAAGAATAAAAAGAAAAAGAAAACCAATCTTAAAAATAAAATATGTGCATATGGCATATTGAATAAGGTTAAATATGCTACCATATAGTTTAATATATATTAAGGGTTTCAAAAAGTAGTCAGGGTAACATATATCTAGAAATAAAATGTTTAAGATCCAGAAGTAACATAATTTTATTGTGGATAGGAAAATCATCAATTTTGAATGAAAATAAATGGTATATATATTTATTTTGTGTGATTACCATGTGAATATGATTTTTTATGGTCATGGTAAATATTGATTAATAAACCATAGATTATAATTAAAATAAATAATATAAATTAAATTATTTTACATTAACATTATAAAAATGTTATTTTATATCGACAATATATATCTTATTGAATTTTTAATATATAATTTAAGTTCATGCAATTCAACCTGGTTGATTCATAAATTTTTTATTTAGTTTTTATTAATTAAATGTAAATTAATTTACATTATTTAAGTTAAATTACTAAATTAATTAAGTGAAGTTATTGTAGTTAATTGATTTAAAATCAATATATTGATCTTTTTATTTAGTAATCAATTTCAATTGATTAATTTATACCAAAATATATTAAGTATAAGTCATATAAATTTCAAACTCTAGTTGCACCGAGCGATTTAACACAATGGTCAATTGAATAATTAATAACAAATATTTAATTAAAATCTAACAATTATATATTTATCGTATAATTAATTAGTATACATATGTAATAAATTAAAGCATTTTGTATGTTAAAAAAATAAACCAATGGACAAACCTACCACTGTGGAAGGGTAAAGAAACTACCTTTAGTCAAATAACGACATTACTATATTGACACAAAAAACAACAAATTAGAGGTACATAAGTTTGAATCTCTCGACTTCAAGAGAAATAGTAGATGTTAATTATTGTTGAATTATTTATGTGTTGACACTATATCGACACATTATTTGTATATGACAATAAAATGACATTTTTTATATTTGACAACTATATTAGTTAGTTGTATTGAGATTTAAAGACAAGATAAGAAATAATGAAATATATGTTATACTAAAAAAAATAACGAAATATACTGTTTCGAGTAAATAAAAGATACTTAATACACAATTTGAGAAGTTAAATCAAACCATACCAGATTATATTGAATATTTTAAAACTATAGAAGCAAATTAAAATTAAACGAAACCTATAAAACGAAATTTAAAGAATCAAATTGAATTATTCTCAAATAATTAGACCAAAATTATAATTGAACAATTAAAAGTACCCAGTAAAAAGAAAAAGAAAGAAAAAAAATTGTCGGGACGGAAAACGGATAACCGACCCGACCCGGGACGATAATCCCGCCMTGTTTAAAGCAGTTCCCGCCATAAATTGATGAGATTCCAGTTTTCACTCAATATTCCGCCGGCGTGGAAGCAGAGAGCTCGTCCGCCAGTCACCGGTGGGTGCTTCATCACTGCCGCCGAAGTCCGGTATAATGGATATGGACATTCCTCTCCCCGACGAGCTTGAACTTCTCGAAGCAGATTTTCATCTCTACGAAGATTATTTGGACCCTGAACTGGCCGAAATCGACGAGGAAGAAGAGCTGGAAAACGAGTCGTCCGATGGACCGATTCCGCAATTGAACTCGCCCAATCCCTCCACTGTCGAATTGCACTTAGGCACCGAATCTTCTCCAGTCAATGGCCTCAAGCGTCTGAGATCGGACGATGCGGACGCACCGATGGATGTGGTTTCGGATGATGCGGAGCCTTCCGGAGGGAAGAAATGCAGGACTGACAAGCAAGTGGTCGAGAACGAGGAGGATTGGCTTCGATATTCACCACCCAGCGAGAAGAACTCTATGGTGGAAGAGGGAGCGAGTTTGGTAGCGGAGGAAAAGACGGTCTTCAGGTACGTTTCAGAGATCGATGGCGATTTTATTCCGATTACGGCACCAGATAGTGACGAGAGGGTCTATGCGAAGTTAGGTCGACCTGTGGACAAGGAGAAGTCCAAGAAATTGGACTTGAAAGAGTTTCATGGAGGTACTTTTGTTTAATCTTTTATTGGTAATTTAAAGTATTTTAGTCACAATTGGACTTTAAATGAGATTTATTCATCATTGGAGTGCTAGTAAGACCAAGGTTTGTTGGTATCTGGGCAGCATTAGTTCATTATCGTAGGTGCAATGCAATAATTCTCGGTCCTTCAATCATTTATCTGTCTACTTTCCAGGTTTAATGCAAGAAAATATCAATGTTTTACTGGAAAGAGCGGAGAAGGAGACTCTGACCAAGGTATGAAAAGTTAATATTTTGCTCACCATAAGTAACCATCATGTACTAATTTCATCCATGTAGTATCAGTAGCCCTACGTTGCTGTTCAGTGAAAATATTGTACAAGTAACCATGAGATTTAAGTTGCTCAATGGCAATTTAATAGTTAAATGGGTTTAGTTGTTGCTTTATATTAGTTGAGATTTTCTTGTGCTCTTTGTAACTTTTACACTGTGAAAAGGTAGTTGAAGTCTTAAGTATTGTACCTATGTGCATCACATCTCTTTTTTGATTAATTTGACTTGTATAAACCTCATGGGAGTTAGTTCAAGAGTAAAGTTGAGCCTATGGGACTGTTAGACACTAGTAACAATCCCACCTTCCCTAAATTTTTTTACCATATTTACTCTAGCTTATTTCATTAATGTCTGATGAGTCACTCTTTGTATTATAGATCTTGGAGGCTAGTTATGATATGCAGATCGATGCGACGCTCCCTCAAGCACCAGTGATGCATGAACGACTTTGGGTGGATAAATATGCTCCAAGTTCTTTCACTGAGCTTCTTAGCGATGAACAGACAAATCGCGAGGCACATATTTGATCTCAATACACCTTTGAGCTTTTAAATTCTTGTTTCTCCATTGCATCTATTTGAAATTTACATGTTTTTTAGTATGATTTGCTTTTTTCGAATTATATATTTATATATGGTCTTTTGCTACAGGTTCTTCTATGGCTAAAACAATGGGATTCTCATGTTTTTGGATCTGAAATTAGGACTACATCAGATGAGGTTTTATCTTCTTTAAGGCGACACTCTTCCATTGCTCAGCACCATAAGCTTTCTAGCTTTAGCTTTACTAGGAAGAATAAATTTCCAGTACGCAGAACTAGTAATTTTCAAGATTATACTTTCTCGGACCACCATAATGGAGCTACGAATAGCATTAAGGACATATGGAGCAAGAAGACAAGGCTTTCAAGTCCACCAGAACACAAGGTATCCACATTTTAAATAAAATTGATAATTGAAACATTGTTGAAAATTATACCATTGTTTCGGTTTGGACTTTCCAAGGTTGGATTCCTTTACCAGCAAACATTAATGTCCTTCGTTTCTGCTATGATTTTAAGCTACTACTTGATGATATTTAAGATTCCCGATAAGTGGAGTTCATTTATTATTATTATTGAAAACCAACTTGTATAACTTGTCACTATTTCTTAAAGACTATAAGCGTGCTAACTAAGAAGGAATAACTTTCATAAAACAGAAACCATTAAGGAAGATTTACTTGTTTTCAGCTTTATTAATTGATGGCTACGTTTCTTATTCGTTGCTAGCTTTGCTTTCTTAATATCTCAATCTATTTTTAAGTTTGTTTCTCTCTCCTTATTTTTCTACTTCATTGCTGCTCCTGTCCCTGCCTCCTCTTTCTTCTCTAATTAGATGCTTGGAACACATTATGTTTTAGCGAGGGAAACACATTAAAATATGCAACCACTTTTGGTAGAGAAATAGGTAAAGTTAATTCACTTTCAAGCATCTCTAGTAAGCTCGATGACACTTTTCAATATGAAATTGGTTCCTTATGTAGTTTACACCTTTAGGCTTTAATTTCCTCGTTTGTTACAGATCTCTGCCATTGTAATTTTTATCTTCCTGTACAAGTTAAGATTTTGCGAAGAATTTTTTATTGGTTCATTCTCATTTTTGGGGGATGGATCATTTTGCCATTTTACTATGTTATAATTGGGAGAACATATCTTGTTATAACTGCAGATCCTTTTACTCTGTGGTCCTCCAGGACTTGGAAAAACTACACTTGCTCACGTAGCTGCCAAACACTGTGGCTATCATGTGGTGGAGGTTTGTTGTTCCTTTTCATATTTTAGGCTCAAAACTGTTATTATTTAGCCTGTCATGCAAATGCATTATCTTCTGGTTAGTTAAGAGGGTTAACTTGTTGATGTATATGTTAGTTTTTAAAACTTTATATCATCCGTATATCATGTTATCATCACAAAGAAACATGAGAACAATACACATGTTTTCTTAGATTTATCATTTTAGTCTTGGATCCAATGTACTTGTGTTACCTCATCTTGTTTGTACTCTTTTCCGTAATTTCATATTTGGATATATGACATTTCTTTCTTCATCTAGTTTTTGTCTATCACTTGTGCTAGTATTAAACAAGTGCAAACTTTTTATGTAGATCAATGCTAGTGATGATCGGTCTTCATCAACAATTGAATCCAAAATTCTTGATGCCATTCAGATGAACTCTGTCTTCGGTGATGCCAAGCCAAATTGTCTGGTTAGTTTTAGTGTCTAACACTAATTTTGAAGGTGAAATCAGAGAAGGAAAAGATAATGTTTGCTTATTTTTCTATTAGAAGTTGCTAATAATCAATTCAATTGATGCAGGTTATTGATGAAATTGATGGAGCACTCAGTGATGGCAAGGGTGCGGTGGATGTTATTCTAAAGATGGTAATAATTTTTTTTTTAAAAATGAGAGCTTCCTTTTGGTTTTTGTGGCTTGAGAGAAACGATAATGCCTCCAACAATAAAGAAAAGTTCCTTGGGTGTTTTACGGACTGTCACTTTTGTAGCTTGTACTTAGTGTAATTTTATGCCCCCTTCAATACTCATAATTTAAGTTATCTTTTTGCCATTTGGAAGAGTTTGTTTTAACTTTCTTTGGGGGTAATTTTGTACTATCTGTGAAATTGGTTGTCATAGAAAAAAATATCTTTCATAAAATTGTTAAAAGACAAAATGTTTCTTCGTTTAGGGTAAGACAATTTTGGGTTATTTTTTAATATTACACTTGGTTAATTAATTTCTTGGAAATTGATCACGGGTTTCCCTTTCTATCGTCCAACTGTACTCTTATAAATAAACTTGTACCCTAAGTTGTATGAATGATTTGATGAATTCTTTTGATCCTAATTAAGGTAAGTCACTATAATATCTTTGAACCTAAATTGCTTGAGAACTAGAGCTTTTTTTTTAATTCCATTTTCCGAGCATGGAGGTTTTGTGTACTAACCTTTTATGCAATGAACATACTCACAATCATAAAGGCACTGAATTTTCTCGAGTGGTTTTCATAAAGGCACTGAATTTTCTCGAGTGGTTTTCATAAAGGCACTGAATTTTCTCGAGTGGTTTTGAGTGGATAATCTTATATTATCATTGTTACATGTATTTTTATACAGATCAACGCTGATAAAAAGGCTGAAAAGGAAAATGGTTCTAAAGACCAGTCAGGCAAGAGATCAAAAAAGGGGGAAAGAAGTGTTTCTTTATCTAGACCTGTGAGTAAAAGTAGTCCTTTTCATTGACCCTTCCCTCCATCCAACCATGTAACTCTTTCTAATCATACTCAATATGCAGGTGATATGTATATGTAATGACCTTTATGCTCCCGCTTTGAGATCATTGCGTCTGATGGCAAAGTAAGTCCTTCACATGTAACTTTATAACATCAAAAGGCATCTATATAATCACCATGAACTGACCCAGTGGTTTTTGGGCCATTAAAAAAATAAACGAACCTTGGGAACAAGTTCAAACTAGAGTGGCCCACCTATGTAGGATTTAAAATCATGCGAGGCTTCCTGGCAACCAAAATGTAGTAGGATTAAATAAGTGTCTCATGAAATTAGTCAATGCGTTCAAGCTAGTATGGACACTCATGGATATAAAATAGAAAATAAAAAAAGGCATCTATATCTATATGTTTACTAATAATACTTGTACGGAGTAGTTATGTTTGCCCCTTGACTTAATTTGAACATGCAAACAGTATGTACCTATTTATTTGTTGGCTGGAATGATCGTATGTGTGACCCGATTAAGATAGGTAACCTATCTGTGAAAATTCAATGTTTTATGTTACTTAATATTCACATTTGATTTACTTATTGAAGATAGAAATGACAAAAATGAGGAATTTTTTCCTCCTGTGCAAAATGTCTTAGTAAGAAATCATCTTGATAATGTTCAGAAGTAGTGTCTTTGTATAAAGCGTCCAAGTTTACAGTGGTTAGTGCTTGAGAAACTAGAACTTTAACTTTTCTCGTCATACATGCTTGGATTAGTGAGACTGAAATTCAGAAACCCTCTATTTATTTCTTTTACTTGTATATCTAGTGGAGACAGCTGGTATTTACAAGAACGTTGGAAAGTGAGAATTATTACCACATACATTTAGGCTCTAATAAATTGGTGATTGAAATTACCTTATTAGAAAAAAAGAGGAAGAATAGTACCATAGCTCATATGTGATTGCAGATGGTTATTCTACCTTTATTTATTTATTCTTTTTTTCCGTCGGTTGTATGCATTTTAACAAATATATTAATGGATTAACCGCTGCCTTATTTCAGGGTTCATGTATTTGTTCAACCCACAGTTAGTCGTATAGTGAACAGGTATAATAATTCTCTTATTATTCTATATTGTTAGATGTAATTCCCTCATAATTATAACAACAATTTTTGGATTAAAATATAGTATCAAATTCGAAATTTTGTTATCTAGAGTGAATAAACTTCTACCATATCTACTTATTTATTTATTAATGATTATTTTAAGTAGTTATTAATTTTTAAAATTCCAAATATATATCATCCTTCTATTATGGAAAGATTCTTATTATAGTTGGCCAGTACAAATTTTAAGATTTTAGTCTTATTTGTAAATTTTTGTTCAATTGTTAAAATTTGTTGTTTAGACTCAAGTACATATGTAACCAAGAGGGAATGAGAACAAGTTCTGCGGCGTTATCTGCTCTTGCACAATACACAGGTGAATTATATTTTGTTTTTGGTGTGTATTCTTTTTTTGTCCTGCACCTATGTGCTGCTTCCATTGGCGTGGCTATTTCTGCATTAAAGAAATAAATCAGAATTCCGACCATTTTATTCATCTTACACGATTTTTTTCCCTTCAGAATGTGACATCCGGTCTTGCCTGAATACTCTTCAGTTTCTCAACAAGAAAAAAGAAACCCTTTCTGCAGTAAGATTTTATATGTATTATCCTTATGGTTTGTGATGAATTTATGGTTTTTATTCTAATAGTTTGTCCTTTTTATTTCTTTCTGGCCATCAGTTGGAGATTGGTTCACAAGTGATTGGACAAAAGGATGTGTCTAGAAATGTCTTCGACATTTGGAAAGAGGTAATGGCCATCAGTTGATCACATATTATGTTTTGGGCAATGGTCACTTTAATTTCATTTTCACCACGTTTGTACTTGACATTATTTATGCTTGTTAGATTTTTCATACGAGAAAAGTTAAGCTTCAGAGTAGATCAGATGGTAAATCCAGGAACCCATGTGATAAAATTGGACATTTGTACTCCCTTTTATCTAGTCGGTGAGTATTGAAATTATTTCATCCTATTAGTTTGGTATCATGTTTAAAAAAAGATCCAACTTTTGGACCCTGAATATGCAGTGGTGACTATGAGTTGATTTTAGATGGGATTCATGAAAATATTTTGCAGCTCAATTATCATGATCCAGTGATGGAAAAGACTGTAAGTTAAAGGAATTCTGTACAATTTATCTCTTATTCTTCTTATTTTTCCATTTTTTTTACGCTCCTTCTACTTTCCTCTAAGGTCAAATGCCTTGAAATGCTTGGAGTATCAGATCTTAGGAACCAGTATATTATGCGGACACAGCAAATGGTCCTTAATGGTGAAAATTTTTCAGTATCTATCAATTTTCTATTAGTCTTTAATGCATTGCATAATTTGAGCTGTTTAAATTATTTATCTTTGCTTCTTTCCATTTTTGTTTAATCATTGTAGTTTATCAGCCTCCTTGTATAATCACCGTACATCGGCTGGTGGCCCAAGTTCAAAGACCCAATATTGAATGGCCAAAATCTTATCTAAGGTATTGAGTCTACCAAATGATGATTAAAATACAAGAAACTATTTTATTTTTCAAAAATACTGGTGCTTTTTGTGCTTGCAGATGTCGGGCACTGTCATTGGAAAAGATGGAAATTTTGAGGTCTTGGCATTCCAAAGTTACTCCACTTATTTCAAGACATATAAACCCTAGGACATTTGTGGAAGACTTGGTTTCTCCTTTATTGCATATTCTATCACCTCGAACTCTTAGACCGGTAATTGCTGACATTTGATTTTAGTTTCTGTATTCTTTCTTTCTGCACAACCATGTATCTATTCTTTGTCTCAACATTGGCGTTTCATTTCTTTTTGTGATGCTTTTGCTTTTACTTGTCTAGAGAATTTGTGAGAATTTTATGAAAGTGAAGGGAGAGGGGAAATTGTATACCATCCAATTAAATCGAAAACCTATTATCAACTGCCATAAACCCTGCCACAAACGTTGGGTTGGATTTTTTAAATCAATCCCACCAATCTTAACCCTTCTCCAAACATATCCTGATGTAACCACATATTCCATATTTAAAAAGGACAAGGGGTCCCATGTAGCTTTCTTTGGTTACAATCATAGTGTTGGGAAATATGGAAGGAGAGGATTGAATAATGTTAACAAGAGGAGGGACGTGAGAGTTTTGGAACCATATTCATCTTGTGGCATCGTGGGCTGTACTAATTGTGAATTTTATAGAACTTCATGATTATATTACTTATTGAACAAAACACTCCAATGATTTTATGTTGACAGATTGGAACTTTTTTTCTTTTTATTTTTTGTTAAGATATCTGTAGCCTTTACCAGGGTTATTGTTCTTAGTCTCCTTGGCCTGTTTGGATTTTGTTGTTATTATATACGTTTATTGTCTTAAAAGTAGACAACAATTACATCTTCATCTTTTGATAGTACTTTTATGTTTTTCTTTGTATTGTTGCTATGACTTGGCAACACGTGGCCCACTTTTACAGGTGGCAATGCACCTGCTATCAGCGAAAGAGAAGGATGATTTAACTAAGCTAGTTCGCATCATGGTGTCTTATGCCATCTCGTATAAGCAAATGAAACCAGATCCTCATCCGAGTAGCTTGAGGCATGAAGCAACTTTAGATGGTCCAGTTCTTGCTTTCGATCCCCCCATTGATGACTTTGTTTGCTTTAAGGTTCGAATTATTGTCATGCTCTTGGTGGCTTGTTTTGTTGTTACTTTATGGTGTTTGGTCAAAGTTTCTGATTTTCCCAATCATTCAGGGCTATGAAAACTGTCACAATGTACTTGCATTAGCTATGAAGCAATTATTGGCTCATGAGGTAAGATAATTTATTCTACGTATTCAGAACTGCTTACTGATAATTTTTATATCTTTGACTTTCTCCCTCACGTTTACTAACTTAAATTAAATTGTTTATAATATTAGATTACCAAATATTTGATCATCAAATTTTGATAATAAAAATTCTGAAACTGATCTATGTTACGCATAGGTTGAGAACCAAAGAATCTTGCTAGCAAGCAATGGCAAAACAGAGCATCTATCAGATGCCATGAAGGTAAACCATCAAGTTTTGCAGGCTAAAACTTACAAAGGTGGACTTGTGAAAACCGATTGTGTAGCTTTATCCGCTAAAGACAACATAGAAGACCGAAAATCATATTCGGCGCAGCATCATCCGAGTAACTCAACTTCATCACCTTCAGTTTCCAATGGGAATTCTGCTCCAGGTGTTAGTTTAAAGTCTTCGGGAATTCGGAAAAATACCTCTATGGGTTCCTCAAATTTTTTTGATAGGTATATTGTTGTCTTCTTCTTTTAGCATTATTGTTTTCTTTAGTCCTTTTTAAGTCATATAGTCCCAGAAAAGAAACGTATTGCAAATCGTATAGAAAATTTAGGTCGCCTTTTATAACTATTTTGTTTTTAGTTTTCTGTTTTTGAAAATTAAACTTGTAAATATTATTTTAACCAATGTATTTCTTGTTTTTCCTATGTTTTTGAAAATATTTTTAAAATCTAAGCTAAAATTTAAAAATTATCTAAGAGTTATAAACGTATTTTTGAAAAAGATGAAAACATGCTAAAGAAATTGTTACGAAACTATCATAATTTTTAACAACAGAAAACTAAAAATGAAATGGTTATCAAACCAGAGTTAAATTTCTATTTTAGATTCATGTCGTAGTTTTCTATTTTCTTTTATCAGTTCCTCCAAGTCTGGGTATCTTTGGTAAAGAAAATGATGGAAAGTTTCTTCTAATAGCTAGTAATGTGGGGTTTATGATGTAAATTTTCTATCAAGATCTTAACCTATTTGGCTTTTTGAAACTAGGTTTCGAAAATCGAGTGGCAAAGGCTCTCAAAATACCGATTCCATCGATAAGAAAGAAATTACGCTGGAGAGAGATCAACGCCCGTTGCTGTTTAAATTTAATGAGGTAACAATTCCTTGCTTGAATCTGACAATACAATACTCCTTCCTGAGCTCAATTCAATGGTACATTGTGGCAATTATAACAAGGGTGATTTACATTTAGGTTAAACTATGACTTTACTTTGAACTTTTAGGGTTATATCCATCTAGTTCGTGTGCTTTTCAAAGTTTCCAGTCAATCCTTGAACATTTGCGATGATATATATTTAGTGCCTATATTTTAAAAAGATTCTAATAGAATTTTAAAATTTCAATTGTTTTGATAGGCGGCTGCACAGCTGATCACGTAAGCTTTAAACTGACAAAGTAAATGACCCGGATTAATTAAATATGAAATTGAAAGTTTAAGAATCTATTAGAAACTTTAAAAATATAGAGATTAAATAGACACACCCTTAAAAATTTAAGAATCTATTTAATACTTGAGTACGGAGATTAAATTTGGAGATTAAATGGATACAACTTTTAAAGTTGACCAAACTTATAGTTTCACCTTAAATTTATATCATTGGCCCCTTGGCTCCAAATGCATATAGAAATTTGGTCATTCATCTCAAGTTGAGAGCACTCATTTATCTCCTGGAGATTTTTTAGAGGTCTCAAAGAAGTCGAAGCAAATCAATAATTCTGCTTGTAAGCTTTTCAAATTATCATTCTATCTTCCACTGTCACCATGAGGTTTTCATTAAAATGTTTCATGTGTAGGGTTTCACAAATGCAATAAAGAGACCGGTTCGGGTTCGTGATTTTCTGCTTTGATAAATAACTTGCTTAGCTTATTTGAGAGGGGCTATTTTCTGATAGCAGTTTATATATTTGTCCGAATTGTTTATTTTTGTCAATAGTTATATCCTGCTGGTTTCCTAGTCAATTTTACAATACAACTAGAAAAAGAAGAACATATGTATATATATAAAGCTTGGATGTTAGCACCTCCTTTGCTCTTAGTCTTACTATTGGCAAGGTTAATAGTAACTTCAACTGATCGTTTTATTCCTTTTTGGATCTGATAGTTTACTTGAGGAGAAAAAAAATTCATAATGACAATAAAATTTTGCTTGTTCCTTTTACAATATTACAAACTGGGGGAGGGGGGATTCAAACCCAAAATCCATAAGAGAAGGGACTAATATTACTTGAGAATATTACTCTGAGTACATTTGAGTAGTAATTGTCACATGTATGGATATCTGAACACATCCTTAAAAAATTTACATCATAAATAAAATCATCTATCACTACAAAGAACCAACTAGACCCGATACTAATATACATAATACTGTTACATCATAGTCCCAAGCATAAATCACCATTTCTCTTGCAGAATTACTGGATAATAGTAAAAAGATAGAAACAAACAAATCAAATGACACACTTCTACTGTGAAAACTTAATAACATAAAAAAATCTTGGTTGTTTTCTGGAGTAAAGGCTACTAGTTTCTTCGTGGGGTGGGTCACGAGTATGATGTAAAGGGCGGAGTGTCAGGGTGGGTCGTGAGCATAATGTAAGAGGTGGGGAGTATAATGTAAAAGTCGAGTTCTAGACACAAGGGTTGGCCATGAGTATAATGTAAGAGGTGGGGCTTTGGACGCCTTGGTTACAAGAAAAATGAAGATCATACCTGAATATTTCCATCAGGAGTACTATCAGGTGGATTGATGGATATCCACAGCAAAGACACAGTGATTGAGAGCAGGCCTGACCATACATAAACAATAGTTGGAAGCCTTCCTCTTCTGCCCATCAACCCCTTAGCAAATGGGTACATATGAGCCAGCACCCAAAAGCTAAAGAACAAACCTCCCCCAAGCTTGCTCCATTGAGGAATCACACTGTACACAGTCCTCGAGAATCCGATCACAGCTGCAATAATGTTAACGATCATGATCGTCAGCGGCATTATGAAGAGACTCGTCCACTTGACCAAGTAAAGATCGGCGTAGATGTCGTCCTCATCTTCTCCAGCAGACTTGGAGGTGAGAGTGAAGGAGATTTCGATCCCGGCAATGACTTTGAGAAGGCCCTGAATGACTGCAGCAAGATGGGCACTGGTTCCACCAATGACCCAAAATTGCTCATTTCTCCACCATTCTTCCAAGGCAATGCCTGACCATTTGACCTCAAGAAGGGAGAGAAGGCAGAGGCAAATGGTGATGATGAGAAGGTAGACGAGAAAAGCAATGTTTAAGCTTTTTACAATGAAGTGTCCTGTGAAGAGGCAGAGGGCTGGGAGGAAACAGTATACCACCAAGAAAATGGAAGTGAAGGGGTAAATTCCTACGTTCAGATACGCCACACGTTGTAGGAATTTCAGGCGTTTGCTTCCTAGAAATGCATTGTTTTTTGAGAAGAAGATTTCCACTGACCCGGTGGCCCACCGGAGCACCTGGTGGAGCCGATCCGTCAGGTTGATTGGTGCTGTGCCACGGAAAGCGTCGCGCTTTGTGATGCAGTAAACCGACCGCCACCCACGGTTGTGCATCCGGTAACCGGTCACCACATCCTCTGTCACTGACCCGTAAATCCACCCGATTCTGTCACCCCATTCCGTCTTGTCCTCGTACCTGCACTTCAAAACAACATCTCGGTTGCATCATTCTTCATTTGTTAAGAGGCTTATTTTCTAAACTATGAACTTCTTAAACTACCACTTAGTCCAAAAGCTTACCAACATGAGATGACGACGACAGCCTCAGCAACAGTTTGTGCATCAAGTGGTGGGCGTGCCGCCAAGAGGGCACCGGGAGGTCGACCGTTCTTGACGGAGATGTGGTCTGCGAGGGGGCGACCTTGAAACTCAGCGACAGAGATGGAGTCGGCAAAAATGGCGGAGCTTCCAAACTTCTTGGGGAGGTCCAAGTCAGGGTGGGATGTCAAAGGCTGAGAATCAGAATCATCTTCCTCAGACTGGGGATGGTAATTGGTTCTGGCTACGGATTTGACTTGCCCAAACATGCCTGTGTATTCGTTTGCTCTTGGTGGGCTGAACCCATACAGTGCATATCGCCTAAACATGCACCCTGTTCCCACATAAACTGGCCCTTGAAGACCATCCAATGCCCTCATGTTCCCTGTTCCACAATCATCGAAGCATCATTAAGGTAAACTCACTAATTTAGTCCAGGTAGTTCGTATTTCCTTTCGGTTCGGTCTTTATGATTTTAAAAGCTTCAACTTTATCTTTGTTGTTTAAGAGATTTTGAGAGATTTAATCCAACTGTAGGAACTAAAGTTGAAAAACCTTTAAAAATTATATAGAGATGAACTCAAAATTCAAGCAAAAACCTAAGAGGGAATAAAATGATTGGGTATCGCATGGAGGCAAATAAAAGAAAAATAGATAAAGGATTTACCATCAAAGAAGACAGTGTTATGGTTGGCATAACGATCAGAAGGGTCGATTCCTTCAAATCTCTGAGGGAACTGAATATAGCAAATTCTGTCTCCACCACGATCCATCATGAAGCACATTCCCTCTCTTATTGCTTGGCAGTTGTAGAAATAATGGTCACAGTCCAAATTGAGAATAAACGGGCCATTTGAGAGAACTGCCGAAGCTCGAACCATGGCGTTCATGGCTCCTGCCTTCTTGTTGTGGTCATAACCAGGTCGTTTCTCACGTGACACGTATGCGAACATCGGAATTCTAATGTCAACCCCTGTGAAATCCAACCTGTTCTCGTCTGGTTTCCCCGTAATTACATCGTTTTCTGGTACCTTTGTCATTACCTGTCAATTTTTAAGCCAAATATATATATATATATATATATATAAATATGTAGCTTGTACAATGTTTAAAATTTTAAGGAAAATGATAAAGGAATAAAAGAAATATCTAACTCCTTTGTGTAGGTCCCGCTTGACCAGGGATACAACTCAGTTGATAAAGCTCTCATTAGCTTGAAAGACACTAAAAATCATGCTTATGCTAGATTTTTTTTTTAAGAATATTACATCACAATCACATGGCAGAATTCAAATCTACGACTTCTTAGAAGAAATAGGTATGGTTTAACCCTGTTAAGTTATACTTAGTTGACTATGGAGTGAAATTATTCGGAAATTACTTAATCTATGAATTAAATATTTTTTTTTTCCAAAAATTAATTAACATCAAACTATACACGAAGACCGTTTTTAAAGATTATTATAAAGCATAGAAACTAAATTTAACCATTTAAAAGAGCGTGTATGTATAAAATGATTGGAGAAAAAAAATTGAAGTGAGGGGAGGGAATGGGAATTACCAATTACCTGTAAAATGCCAGCGTGGTCACCCTTGGAGTGGTCAGCGGTTGGTTGGAGCCAAGTTCCAGGCCAGTGGGTGCCGTCAGCCATCCACGTGGCCATGGTGACCTTGACCGGTTCAGCCGGTGTGTCGCCGCCATTCTTGTCTCGAGCCAGCTTCTTCTCCTTGGCCTCCTCCCTGGCGTTGTAGTTCTCACTCCTCTTCCTAATGGCCTCCGGAAGGCCATTGATCCTCACCTTAAATTCGTCGTACTCCCTCTTTATCCACCGGCGGTCCTTCACAAAATCCGGCCGTTTCTTGTTCTTCGTCGGATCCCTTTTTATGCTGAAGTAGCTGTCTGGATTTCTCGGTTCGATGTTGTGTTTCCGACAAAACGGTACCCATACCTAAGACACAGAGGTGAAAGTAATGTTTACGAACTTAATTTTTAAAAATAAAATAGTTATCAAACCGCGCTTAATATATCTATTTGAGCTTTTAACACTAACACATGACATTATTCTCTTGAATGCAAAATTGGATATAGGAAACAGAAGTGTACCTCTGCAAACTTAACAGCCTCTGCCATGGCTTCAAACGAGAGTATGGCGCCACCATCATCTGAAATGTAGCATGAGAGCTTTTCGACAGGGTAATCTACGGCAAGGATGGAGAGAATGGTGTTGGCCGTGACGAGGGGCGGTTCCTTCTCCGGGTCGGCCGTGGATACAAAGACATCAACTCCGGGGAGGTCGGATCGGCCGGTCGGGTTGTTCGGAGAGGCTTGATCGAACTTTTCCCGAAGCGCGGCGAGATCCGTGGCTCGGTTTATAGGGTTGAGCTTCGGAAGTATATCCAACAGCCATGAGAAAGCAAACCATATCTCACAAACAATAGACATTCCCCATAGCCACAATGCATCTTGATTTGGATTTCGGACTCGCCAACCAAGGAAGAAAGCCAATACTACCATT